TGTTGCTTATATTTGAAAGGACTTGTAGGAATGTTGCAATGAAATCTGAGGAAAAATGTGTCGTTGAATAACATTATTATATATTCGACAGCTTAGTGAGGCATCTTTGTAGACTCCAGATAACATCATGAATATACATGTTTATTTTTCAGCTGCCTGAGAAATAGTCTGGAAATAGAGATCTAAGCCTTTCAGACATCAATGTGATCTATCCTAAAGGTCTACAACAGATTAAAAAAAAAAAAAGTGGAGGGCAAGCTTTCTTTAAAAAAAGAATCATTTATATAAACATTCTGAGTAATGTAGTATTTTAGTACTATGAATGTGGGAGTATTTTTAACAGACTGAGGCTTGTTGGAATAGGCAGCATCACAAGTCTGGCTTGTCACCAAGGTAATATCAACTTCTTTCACTTTGTTTTCTCTGGGCTAAATTATGCACTTATTTCTTCATATAAGCACAATTTTCACTATTCTGGCAGGATATCTTTCATTCCCCTTGCTGCCAGATAAGATCCAGGAAAGTATATGAGCACTTCACAATGCATTAATGGATTTTTACTTTTTTTTTCTCTTACCAGACAACCTTCTACAAATTACAGCTGGGAAACCAGTGTACAGCATACATTAGGTATCATAGACATGAGGCCATGGGTGACAGAGCTGGGAGTTGAACCTGACTTTGAGTATCTGCTCTGATTTACTAGGTGTTCTTACTGCCTTCTGACAAAGTCTCTACTGCAAACAGTTGTTGTTTTCCAGCATTTTGAAATGTCATTGAAAACTCTCTCATGACTTGACTTCCTTTTTTTGGTGATATTTTTATAATACACAGCAGAGCTGCAGTGATTTGTCTCTTGGGATCTTAGCTCTGAGACTTGGAAGTATTTATGCTACACCAAAAATTAAAGTGAGAACTCTTGACTCTACTTATTGCATTTGATTGAACAGTTTAGTCCTTTAAAGTGCTCCACAGAAAATAGAATTAGAAGCTGAATATTTTAAAGGTAATTGGTGCAAAGCCATTGAATTTGAGAAGGGAATATATATTTTGCCAGGGGTAAGTCACTGGAGGCCTGATCCAAACTTGTGGGAAGGAAGGCTTCTGCAGGCCTCAGTGAGCTTTGTATTGAGTCCTATGTAATAACCCTGAGCAATTTTGGTATTCTTGTCAGTACTTAACTCCTAGATTGTGTACTCCAAATACCTTGGAGACTAGAAATAAGACTATAGTGGTGGTTCAGGTAAAGGAAAAGTCTTATAATACCGGGCTTACTAACTTAATTTTGTGAGAACTTTCTCTTGTATCAGGTTCTTCCCTCTTGCCTTTTGTGAGAGAATCAGTATTTAATTCTTAGTCCAGCCACTGGAGAGAGCTCTTAAGATCTTCAAAGACAGGTTTAGGAAACAACCTCCCAACACTAGCGGCAAAACAGACATGGGACTGATGCTAGAGTCCCACAGTATGGTCTGTTGCCAAAAATCAGTATAGTGAGAGTTCCTAATTTTTTTCAGGAATATGTAAAAGGCACTGAGGATCAAGAAAGAGAGACAGAGTTTTTGCTTTGACAGAGCTGCTGACTTGCTTTGATGCCAAAGATAACGCCAAAAGCATGATCGTAGCTCATGCTGCTAGTCTTAAGCTGCCTAGCCTGGGTACTGTGAAGGGTAGTTTCCAGTGGTGCAGAGCCTAGTTGCCACAGTGCTTCACCTGGTCTTACAGATGGGTCTGTAAGCGATACTGAAACTTGCTGCTGGCTCTACTGCTGTTGATACCTAGGTCAGCTGGTGGGTATCCCTCTTGTGCTGTGTCTGTGATTGTGTAGTCCTAGTGTTAGAATAAAAATGGGATGCTGGGCCCTGTCCTTGTTGCAGAGGAATTCAGTGAAAGGCAGTAACTCCTTGGGCTGACTGACTTTCCACCTCCCCTGTGGAGGAGAAAAGGGATTTTTCTCAAAAAACAAAAGAAAGCTGCTTGTTTGATAGCTAATTATTCTTGCTTGTAGCTTATTCTTGCTTATAACAAAAGGTGGGTGCAGCTTAGTATGCTTTGCTGTAATTTGTTAAATAAGGGTGTATTCCTTTATCTTTTTAGTTGTGACCTGGCTGAAAAGAGGCGCTCTTCAGTTTCCTTTGGAAGAGGATCACTCAGCTATCTTAGGATAGACTGAAGATTTTGTGATGGTGAAGAATCCTCCAAAATAGCAAGACAAGTCTTTGCTGGCCCTGTAGAGGGAACATAATAGATATGTCTGGGAGCAAGGCATAGGCAGGTGTTAGCGGGCTGGTGTTGTTCTTACCAGGTACTGAGTACAGTCAGAAAAGCAGAGTGGAGGAGCTTTGGTGCAGGAAGGTGTACTTGAGATGGAAAGGAGAGAACTGCTGACTATTGCCTAGAGCTAGACAAAATGTTACTGCTGACCAACAGGAAATTGCTCAAGAGGAGGCGTCTGAGAACTGAAGACAGGACGACTCTCCCCTAAAGTGTTCCTTGTGTCCCTCTGAGCTCTGCTGAGCTCCGAGTTGGGCACTCTTTAGCTTAGAACTTGCATATTGACAGAGGCACATATGCGATGGCGCGTTCTGAGGCACAGATGGCTCAGGAATGTCAAAATACTCTTAGTTCCTTAAGTCTCTTATTAAAAAGAAGGCAGGTATTATATCTCCCTCCACTGTTTGTTAGGAAGTCCAAAACAAAACCGTAAAAGACTAATGCTTTGATGCAACTGTAGGGAGCAGAGGTAAAAAGGAGTTATTTCTAATCCCGATATAAACTTTGTTCTGACGTACATGCAGGAGGCTTTATGCAACCTGGCATATGGTGTTGCATAAGTTTCCCCAACCAGATAAAGTTTGTTCTGTGGTCCCAGTCTGGACCAGAATGACCTAGCTTCTTGACTAGAGAGGCTTTTTTCATTTTAAACCATCTTACACTGTGAGAGGACCTTTTCTTTCAGCTTGGATGTGATAGTGGCTGTTGGTTTAGGTATGCTCAGTAGCTAGTTGAGCGCTACGTTTCAGCGATTCTTCGGTAGCTTTGATACACCTGGGTGGTGCTGTGTGAAACTTAAAATATGACTTAGCGAACAGAAGTTCAGTATAAGTTTTGGCCTTGGCAATGGTCTTTACAGTATAACATCATTCCGTGTCTTTGCACTAGGCATGACAAGTAAGAATTTAGGACTAAGCAAATCTATAACTCTCTCACACACAGGCAGCTTGAAGCTTCTGCTTTGTTGTAATGTCTTGCAGCTCTGATTAGCTTCCAAAGCAGGCTCAGGGATTTGTGATGTCTGCCTGATTTTTGTGAGGGAGTGAACAAGACAGTTTTTGTGCGTGTTTTTTTTAAAGGTAAGACTTCTCGTCTAATGACTATTTAGAGAGAAAATACTTTCACCTCTATAAAGTTCTTTGAATTATAAAGGACGTTGCTGTTGGGTTACTGAAAACCCTTGGGGTTTGTTTCATTTATAACACTGCCTCAGGCCTTCTGCTGCATCCTGTTGGATTGACCTCCTTTTCAACCCTGTGCTGGCAGCTGCATTGCAGAGCTATCTTTTCCATGGATCCTTCAGGGTTGTCATATGACAAACTTGAACTGTGACCCTTTTGTGTCTTACCAGGACAGCAGTGCCCTCTGTGTTATGTGGCCAGCAGTCTTCCCCACACACACATTTGTTCCAAGCCATTTAACAAACTGAAAGTTTCAAATGATGTCATTTCATAGTGTTTAATAGTATTGACTGTAAAGCAAATGAAATGATGCTGAATACCCTGCATGCTGCTAGCAAAAATGGAAGCCATATTTCTTACTATATGCCTTGGCTTTTCTGTGGCTAGTGTGCTGTCTGGTGAGTCTTTTTTTTTTTTTTTAAATGAATTTTAGTGCTTCCTTCCTAACAACAGTAGTACTCACTGCTATACATTGTCCAGCACTGGTATTTGTTTCTAATATATGGGTTTAACTGGATTTCTCTAAGCAAAGTGGGCAAAGTCATTTTGCTGAAGTCTTGCAGAGAGTGTAAGGGCAAGAATTGATATAGTTAACACAGCATCCAAGCAACACCATCTCCAAGTGGTGTTGATGCTGGCAGGCATTGCCTTACTGAAGTTACAGAGACTGAGCACTCGTATTTGTACAAATTGCATTCATTACTAAGAACCCTCTAGTAGTGATAAGAGACTGGCTGTGTAGCATAGATTGGCTCCAAGATAAGTAGCCAGTCTATTGTGAAGCTCATGATAATCTTCCTCCTCCCCACCCCTAATAATAAATCTTGGGGCATTTTTGGAATGCGTGGGGGTTGCTCATTCCAATAGCCTGAATGTATAACTACTAAATATCATCATCTCCCCACCAATTGTGCTTTCATAACCAAGCAACACAGCTGACTGAGATGGATAGGCTTAAATACAATGTTCTGAACACACAGATGCTCTGACTTTGTGTATTTGCTCCCATAAAAAGGACAAGTCACACATGATGACCGGAGCAAGAGTGCAGTTTCTTCTGGCCATGTTTTAAGGCTAGAGCCTGTTCTCAGTGACAGTTTTCCTCAAGAAGAGATGTGATCATCTGAAGCTGAGGTGTTTGCAAATGGGAGTAAGCCTTGCACAATCTGGTCCTCTGCACAGAAACTGTGGTAGTACCTTCTTCACACTTAGCCTGTCATTTTCCTGGACAAGTATTTACATAGTATGGCTTCAGTGAAACTGCAGTTATTTATCATACCATAATATGGTTAGAAATAGACATTTTTTAACATTGAATTTTCTTCATTCCTTTGACTGAAGTAAACTACTTAACTGGCAGGTGTTTGCTTTTTCTTTGAAAGTATCTAATGTACATGGAATTCTAGATTGCTGGTTTGTACTATATCTAAAGCTGAACATCAGCAGGCTAGTTATGTACAAGCAGGCAGTACAATACAATGAGTTTGATTAAAAACTTAAATTGACATAAAATATAATTTTTTTTTCCTCTCACTGCTCTCCCTTTAGGGTTTGAATGGCAATGGAATCACTCCTGGATCATCGGGTTTTAGCCTTACAAAACAGTTGCTTCGTCCAAGAATAACCCGTGTCTGTCTCAGGGACTTGATATTCTGCATGGAACAAGAAAGGGAGATGAAGCATTCTCTAGCCTTGTACCGTGCTCTTTTGAAGTGATTTTAGTTTTACATTTCAACTTTGCTGTCTACTGCCAAAGAAAACACTGAAGCATTGTTGCACTGTCTTGAATTTCCAATTTCTGGAAAATGATCCGTTGTAAGGATAACTCTTGTTTACAGATAAACATTTTTATTAAATACCTAACTTATCACCTGTAGGGTTTTTAATAATATTTGGCTTAAACCAGTCTGTAAACCAGTGAAAACATTGAGCTGCACACACAAGCACCTGACTACCTGCATGCATTTAACTGTCTTGCAGGCTCTGAGGGCTTGAGATGTGTACCTAGTTTATGTATGTCACTTGCTTCGGTACTCCAGAGCCTGCAACATCTGTTCTATGTGTAGTGCCTTCTTCTAATCCAACCTTATTTAGGGAAACAAATTAACACTTTAAAGGCACTGCATAGCATGACAGCTGTATTTAATTGTGAACCAGCAGTCAGTCAACATGCTAATATATTGCCTATCTGACTCTGCATCTCCTTAAATTTTCTGGGTTTAGGATTACTACTGAATGCTAGTTTGTGGAGAGCAAAGTAGCAAGCAAAGTGAGGAGACATGTTTTCCCTCTCCCACCTCACCTCAACTGCCCTCCCCCTCTCCTTTGAGAAAGCAACTGAGAGAAGGTGCACAAATGGGTAATTCCTGTGATTAACGTATATCAAACAGTGTAGTTGCATGTAGTGGCACACTTCCATGTTTGAGAAAATCTGGAGTTACTAAACTTGAACACAGGGAGTAGAAGAGCCTAAAAAGGGAGGATAAACTGAAGAAACAAATCTCATGTTTTTTCCCTTATGTGGATATCAAAAATAGCAATGAACTCCAACACATGTTTTAAAGAAATGAACAAAAGAAACCTGTGCTGACTGCAGAAAAAGGAAAACTTAATACATTAAATATTCTAAAACTTTACAGCTGGAAAAAAGTAGTGTTTGCGAAGCACAGCGCGTTCACTGTTTTGAAAATACTGATTTAATTGTCATCTTAATGTTCATAATACCTTAATATGGTATAACAGGGGAACTTCTTAAATAGAAGCTAATTAGTTTAGCCAGTTGCCTGGTTTCCATTCAATGAGGAGGACGGCTCCAGGTTCTTAAAACTCCTAAAATAGACTTAAAGATTTTCTGCTCTGCTGGTAAAGACTGACTTGGAGGAGGAAAAAACTCCTGGTCACTTCCCTTTCCCCAGCCTCCAAACACTTTGCCTCCCATGACACAGTGCTGTATAGCATGGCTGTTGACAGGACCAGTGGGAAAAGGCACTGACTGTTTTGAATGGCTTTCTGCTAATTTTTTTTTTTTTTTGATTAAGGAACAAGCTTCCTATGGTTATCTGGCATGCTACTTTAAAACTTGAAATGATAATTCAAACATGCCCTCCACCACTGGAACCACTGCAGATACTTACTAAATTCAGTAAGTTTTGAATCGGTTATGTTTTTTCTGTTGAAACAGTAGTAAGCAAATCTAGTAAATGAATGCTGTAAATTATTTATATATGTATATATAGCACACACATATATATATATATATATATGAAAAGCAGTACTTTGACTAAGCTATAGTTTGCAAGATATTGATGGCATCAGGCAAAATTGTTTTGTATAATTAAATGCTTAAGCTTTACTTTTTATGTAAAGTGTAGCATTTTCCATATTTGTGTACTGTATCTTATTGATCAGATGTTTAAAATTATTTTAAATACTGCATTAAAGCAATTATTTTATTAAAAATAGTAAATTGGTAATTTTGTCTGTTTCTTAATGTGAGAAATGTAGCATCTGAAATTGGCATCATCATGACTAATGGTGTGTTTCTTAATGAGACCCCTGGCTTATCTGCCCATCACAGTAAATTGGCACAGTTGTTGAACTTGAAATATTAATGATTAACTTCCATCTATTAAGGCTTTTAAACAAAACTAGGTGACAGTGCAAAGACTTGCTTAAAAAAAAAAAAAACTAAATACTTTCACTTGTCTAACTGCCAGTGCTTCAATACAAAGGCTATTTTTAACATCTGAGCAGAGGTAAGCACTTTGCATGTTTTCGGTGAAGTAAAAACACAGAAAGTTTCTTCAAACTTCCACAAGGTGCAGTGGAAGCATTGTCCTAAATTATTTTTAAAGCAACCCTGAGTTAATTAAACACAGCTTGGAGAACCAAGATGAGCATCTGCATACCAGCCTACCTCTTTGACTTTTTAATATCTCATTGGTTTAAAGATGAAAGATATTAGAGAAGATTACTCTTAATGTAAAGAATATCTATTGATCAGTTATGTAGGACAGATGCTTGAAATGTTTTTGACTTGCCTACCATACAGATTGCATGCTTTTATTACTGTTGCCAAAGCAAGTAGTCTCTTTTCCCTTGCTTACTCAAAAAACAAAACAAAAACAAAACAAAACAAAAACAGCAACAAAAAAAAAAAACGCCTGGGCCTGTAAGGAGCTGAATTGAACTGTTTGAGCGGAATTTCAGATAGGGGAAGTCAAGGCCTTGACGCAGAAGCTATAAATACTTGTGTCCTTCCCAAGGGTTCAGCCTGCCTCTCATTCCAGCTCCGTGTTGTAGGATTCTGAGAACAACAACTTGTCCTTGGAAATGGTGCTTAGGAGATACTTGAGCTTTGCTCATCCAGACCAGGAGTTAAAGGAGAGATGACCATGCATACCTTCCCCATCTTTTTCTTGGGCTTACTACTTGTTATGGAAAGGTGGACTACTCTTTATGTGAATACTGAAAATCCTATCATCAGGTTATGAAGAGAATTCCTGCCATCATGCTGCTGTACCTTTTAGTCTTAAGCTTTTCTCAACCTTAGATGGCTCTGCTGCTGAGTCCCTATGTCCCTGATGCTTCGAGGGGTCTCAAACCTTACTGCAGGTGCTCTTTGTTGTTCTCCAGATGGTCCGTGAGTCCGGTGCTGTCCATGGAACTATCCATGACATCTTAGTGCTGTCTTAAGAGCATATGGTTGCAGGTGGGACAAAGTGTTTTTGCTGGGTCTTGACTCCTGCCATTTTAGCAACATAGTGTTATGCTGTTTCTTTTCTTTTGTTTTTTTTATTAAGTTATATGGTGACAAAAGGGGTCTTGTACACTTTCTGCCTCTCCTCATGCTTTTTCCCTTTAGTGCCATTTTTGAGCCTTATCACTGAATCCATCTGCTGCCCTTTGCACTATCTGTGACTCCAGCTTTTCCCTGTCCCTGGAAAAGATGTTAGCTGAAGTGCACTAACACACCCTGCAGGTTTTGTGTAGGTTTAATAAGGAAGGCAGCTGGGGCCCTTGAGACCTTGCAATATGGTTCCTCAAAGCCATTGTACTTGCTCGGACACTTTGACACAATTAGCTTAAGGCTTTTGTTTGCATCGAGTTGTTCTAGGCCTGCTCTTGTAAACACCTGTGTCTTGCCATGCAAGTGCACTTTGCTTGGAAAAAAAAAAAAAGTCAGCTCTTCTTCAGGCTCATGTGTTTGTCCTGTTCTTTGCTTTCCTCTTCTCTTACAGTTACTGGGGTTAAGATAGACCAGTGTAAATGAGGGTGTCCTAGGGGTCAGACTGTCCAGGTGTTTGGACTTCATGAAATGGGCTTGCTCTTAGCAACTTTTCAAATGCAGGCTGCTGGGTTTCTGAAGCCTGATGTGCTACATGTGCATCCTTCTACATGTAACATGTAATGTCTGCCCATCATTTAGGAGCTGAGCCGGTGGTTGTTATCCAAAGTCTTGGCTGGAGCCTGTAGCTCTGGAGATAACTCAGATCTGCAGTGAAGGCTTTCCTCCTTTTTGGAGTGCAAACTTAGTACAAGGACCAGAAACCTCGGCACATCTGAGCTCTCCATCTTGACACCTTTGGCACTGGGCTTATTGCCATGCATCAGTGGTTTGTCTTGCCTCCATCTGGTAGGAAGGGCACAAACCAAAACACCAGTGTTTCACTTGGTGCAGGCCTTTGCAGCCTAGGCAAACTTATCTCTTTTGGCTTTGTAATTAGCATTTTGAAGGCATAAGCAGGAAACCTAGTCTCTTCCTTCCAGATGCATCAGTCCCTGCTCCTACTGCCTTTTCTCTTTTACTATAGACACAAACTGATCGCTCTTTGCCTGCCATCTGTAGCTATTTCAGCATGTTAGTTGCTAGCTTTGCTATCCAGTCCCTTCCTAGGATCTTCTGCTTCATAGCTGACAGGTTGCCTACAGGCAGCCTTCTTTTGAAGGGCTTTTTAGAGTGAAGGAAGGAGGAAAAGGAGGATCTTCATCCTTGCCTTGAAAGTTCCATGACTATTCTGAAGTTAAAGGAGACGATTGTACAGATTAGTTCACATCAACCTTCAGACCGCTACTTTCTTTGTAGCGAACAGGTTCTCACAGAAAACGTGGTGGTCAAGACTTGTACCATTAGGTTCTTCTGTGGTTGATGGTTTTCTACAAGATCCTTGGAGCCGTAAACACTTCTCACCTTTTGAAAGATGTTTCCCTGACAAGTATCTTTCGGCCCACCTGAAATTCCTGCCTGAGACCGTATCAAAGCCGGTCTCTTCACCAACTCCTGTCTCACAGTCCTGGAGCTCTTTGAAGAATCTCCTCTTCAGTTTGCTTCTGTCTTAGAAGTATGAAAGGGTTCAGCTATGTCCCAGTTGGATTTTGGGCTGTGTCAGGACCTGCAGCCCTGGGGGCGATCAGTACATATTCCACCAGAACTTGGCCCATCAGTAGTGTCATTGAAAGACTACTTCATTTCCAGGCACCTGCTGGGTAACTGTGTTTGTTTTTACGCAACACTGTGGCATCTAAGAAATCTTAAACCTTTGGTTCTTGAAGCCTATCTGGAGGTAACTACAAAATACATAGAGGGGATGTGTTTGGAGCCAGCAACAGTGCAAATACATTCACCATAGAGGTGAGCTGCTTAATAGGGGCTGTAATTCTTTTAGATACACTGTCTACACTGTCTGTCCCACTGTCCTTCCACTTTCCTGCTGTCACTCTCCCTCGATGCTTCCCCGGTTATGGAGAACTACAGTTCGTGTGGTGTGCGCTGCCTTTTGCGACTGTGCTGTGGCATGAGGGAGGAAGAACGGGGTCCTGCTTCATCGGTCCTGCTGAGGCAAAAAAACCCAAACATCTTTATCTTAACAGCTTGGCATGCACGTTCCCACTGTGTGTGTTTTCCTTGAAGAATTGCAGTTATTGGTAAATAATTGTTCTCTCTATAATATCACAGAGAATGTTACTTTACAATCTATTTGGAATGAAGAATTAGCTGACAGGTCATCTATATCAGTTTTTGAGGGCTAATTTGTAATTATGTAGTAGTTCCCCAAGCCTCTTAAAATATTTGCACTTTGAAGTATTTCACGTGACACAGTTTATTAATTTACACTTATTTTAAAGTGTTTCTTATTTCTGTTCCTAGAAGCTGGAAGAGAGGAGGAGGTGTATTTTTTCCATTAGTTGTGCGTGAATATAGGTATACTCTATGTATATGAATCCTTGTAATTTTTTAAAAGAAATACTCTACTTCTTGTAAGGACTGAGTTATAACAGTTCCCAGGTGTGAAATGCCACCAACAGGGAGATGACAGACGAAGAAGAGGACTTCTTGAAGAGGTTGCAAGATCTAATATATCAAAATCCATTGATGACTGTGTAAAATTGAACAGGGAATAACGACTCCCTTGAAGGGCTGGTCAGCAAGCATTCTCAAAAAGAAGAGTAGGAAAAGGAGAACACACTCAAAGGATTGAACACGGAGCTCTCTTCTGTCTCCACATACTTTTTGGTTTGCGTGTATTCAGGCAGAGAAATCATATTCTCTTTTACAGAATATCTGTGTATCTCTAGAAGAAAAATAATCCATTGAAGTAGGTGAGTATGTATATGCAAACTGCATATTTAATAAAGCAGACTTATTGATTAATTTCTATCTGGGAAGAAGTCATTAAATCTTTGCTTCCAGTTCAAAGCCATCTTCCTTCTTACTCCATGTTTTTTTTTTTTTAATTTGGAGAAATCCTCCATAATCATCTCATCTGTCCTTGAAGGAGTGGCCAAAATGATTAACAAAACCATGTCAGCTTCAGGTCAGTGCTGCAGTCCAGTCATATGGCTGAAGCATTGCCAGATTTGGGAAAATGTATTGTTTTCACAGAACTGGTGATCCTAAAAGAGGTTGGAATGAGCAATGTGTAGATAGAGCACGTTCTATTTAGTATCTCAGAGCTGAAGTAGTTTAGCTATACTAACTTTGGAAAAGCACAGACAGGCTTACAGCCCATGTAAGCGTCTGCCCAACGTAGAACTGACATGGTAATCAGAGTTGCACTGGCTTTTTTCAGTGCTAGAGCTGGAATTTTCTGCACTCTGCCTTTCACCAGCCGATTCATTAGTCTTTTACAGCATGGCTGAAAGGTGGTGCAAACTCAAATAGAATTCATTTCACTGAGCTCTCAGAACCTTT